TTGTATAGCTATTACTGCTACATCAAATTGAATAAGATTTACAAACGCTAATAAGTCGCTTGCGTAAGATCTCTAGTAAGATAGGATACTTTAATATTATACTTAAAACAAACAATTTTTAATTTTAATTAAAGAAAATATTTGCCCTATTGGTAATAATAAATAAATCAAAATCAAAATAACAATAATAATAATAATAATAATAATAATAATAATAATAATAATAATAATAATAATAATAATAGGCACTACCTAATTTTTTATATTATTTCATTTTATATTATCAGCTTATACTTATGCCATTTTTATTATTAATAATAATGAGATTATTCAGTAGTTTAAATTAATATTATAAATTATATATATTTAAGCACATAATTTTGTAAACAAACTGTACAAATAAAAATATTTAAATGCTTAACGAAACGCTAACAAGTCAATATAAATGACAAATTAATTTACAAATTACATAACATTTTCAGTCTCAATAATAGATTTGTTATTCATTCAATAACTTCCATTGCTAATATACATTTTTCTATCAATATCATCAAAAATAAATTATTTGTACCAAGAATTAATAACAAACCTGTACATATCCTGAAAGAAGAATAAAATCTCATTTATTGAATTCTTATTTTTCTCAAAATCAAAAAAGTTTTTTTCTTGTAAAATAAATACACATATTTTTATTAATTTTTGGTAAAAAAAATCAATTTTTTTATAGCTAATGTGTCAATTGTTTGAATAAAAAAATTAATTCGTTGATACAAATGAAACGGCTGCATGCGTTATCCAACGAGTGAAAAATGGCTACCAATAAATCAAACAAATATTTATATAAATAAGTACTAAGTGTACTAAAATTTTAAACGCTTCTAGCTTATTATTTGTAACAAAATACATAATTCGCGTCAAATAAAAATGTTCAATTCATTTTATTGTATAAGATTTTTTAGAAACAAAGAAATGTATTTATTTATTTATTATCATTATTAATAAAAGAAATTGCAACCTCAACCAACACTGTTTTATTATACGGTTTATAGACATCTTCCATGCGTAATATGTGTGTGTGTGTGTGTGTGTGTGTGTGTGTGTGTGTGTGTGTAAAGCACTTTGGTAATGTTATATGCTAATCCCTAATGTGTTTTGTAAGATAGTTCTGGACTACACAAGTAACTATCACAGAATTTGTTTTTGACATTTCATATTTACAGTAGCGTTTGAATGCTTTTCATGTGTGATTTAATGACATTAATATAATCGATTTTTATGAAAGACGTTTAAGACGTGTAATAATGCCATATATCAAGAAATAGTAATATATTGAACTTTATTCAATGCTTTAAAGACAACGAGCCATTGTAATTGTTCATTTATTTATTAATGTTCTTATATCATATTTCATAATTTTATATTTATATTAATTTTATTTAAAGTAGGATGAATATTATAAGTAATTCTAATTTAAGATAAATTTTTATTTCCAGTATCAATAATTATACAGAATATAGAACTCGATACTTAGAAATAAAACCGAAATTATTAAAAATAAACATAATTAAATATTATACATAAAATAACAATACAATCAATATTTATTGTTACCATACTAGCAAAATACTAATAAAAAAAAAAAAAAAAAAAAAACTCGTGTAACGGATATTGCAGTAAGTAAATAACTCAGGTAGTTATCTATTGTTGTTTTATTATTAACAAGTTGTATCGTCTAGAAAATTAGTATTAAATATTAAGAGACTTTAAAGTTTTAATTATGATTGGTACTTGTGGATTTATATAAAATCAACACGTATGCAATGTGTTATCAGTGTAGATCAACTTAATAAGACTTAATACCTGAAAATCAATCATGAAAAATAATTATTAAATAATGAGAGTATATAAGGTCTATAGTACTCGTATAAATAAACAACAAACATTGATATTTTTTTTCAATATTTATTTTTTAAGTAGAAAATGCTTTTATAACTGAGGTAGCATGTGCGTATATACATGGATCAACGCTCACTTTAACTTTAATCCCAACCCTCTACATGTAGACCTCCATATAATATTCGTACCACACAACATTGATGTGCTTCGAAGACCGTCGGAGCGCATGAAATATGCAGAAAGCAACGCATTGATCGTCTTTTCATTTCATTATTTATGTAATTAACAGACTTCCCTTAAATGTACATTGTACATGCTTACTGCATAAAAATAACATCAATAGTACTGCACATGATTTTTATATAGCTAATGTTAACATTTTATATGAAAGAAATCTTTGAAATTAAATATCGATTGCTATTATTTTTTTAATTACAAAATGTTGTAAAGCCAAGTTTTAATCGAACATATAAAAAAAAAAATAATTTTTCCTCTGCATCAATTAATAATACATTTGATAAGTGATTTCAATATTCATATCCATTTATAGAATTAAATATTATCTTTTATTATATACGGGGTAATCAATAAATATATTCAAATATTTATAATCCATATTTATAACTATTGTTTTAATGATAATTCTATATTAATTATAAATGCATATATACTTATAAATTATTATTATACATTTATAATTGGATTATTAGATCCGTATTATTCTCTATTTGCCATTGAATGTAATAAAATGTGTGCTTTGCAAATAGCTGGTTAGTTGTATTTGAAGAAATTCAGGAATAATACAATACACTGTACCATGGTTTGTTGGGTATACCAACAAAGTTGGGTTTATGGTTATATTATAGTAATAAAGTAATTTCATGGGTCACTTATGTTTTGTGAATAAATTCAGGCTCTTTATTATTCCTTGAAATGTCTTCAGGAATAAAATTTTATATGATTTGTTTTGACAGTCAGTAGGCTGTGCATAATAAATTTATGATATAATAAACCTTAAAATTTGTTACCTTAAGCAAACGATTTTTATGTACCAGTTAATTCAAAAAACTTTATTTTTCGAATTATAGCTGTAATTTAGATTTTTATTTGATTTATCTAAGAAGTTAGGTAAATCTCGAAGAATCACCATTATATTTATTCTGTAAAATAATCTACCAGATGATGCATATTTGATAAATACTTCAAACGTTATATTCTCAAATGGAATTTATTATACAATATTAATACAATCGATCTTCACGGGAATGTACTCTTTGTATATTTACTATTTTACAAATACTATCAAGCAGTAATAATTTATTATTTATATAAAATTGATGGCAAATTATTATAATTTTACTTTTAAAAATAGAGATAAATATGGGAATGTCTTTGTATATAAAAGCAACTACAATATCAATAATAAACATTTCGTAAAAAATGAATAAAATATTCTTCAAAGCTCTTAGCCAAATATTTATGTTTTGTGATAGTTTTATTACTAAATTAGATACGTATATTAATGCATGTCAACAATCAAATGTTAATTAGCATTGCTATTATTGACAGCAACTAAATGGAACTACGATTTGTCAGATTTAACGTCATTGTGTTTTCGTTTGTAAGTTAATAGTTAATTTGGCTATTAAAGAAAAATAATCGAATAGTCTACACGTTACATGTAGCGTTCAAAACAAAAATTTTCTATAACATATATGTACTTTAAGTTTACTAATTTTATCAGTATATTAATTAATTAATTAATCTTATATATCGATTAATGTAAATTTATTGATGCTAATCATAGGTAAGTTTAGTTTACAAATCACGGAAGCGTCAATAGCTTCAAATAATTTCTCTAGAGTAGGTTGATAATGAACATTGAATAATACATACATATGAATGTTTGTATGAGATTGTAGATTATACCTTTTAATGGAATAGAATAGTTGAAGGATTTTAAGTATATTGAAATAATAATACTGCAAATATGTGGAGAAAAAATTATTGACATTTATTCACTGTACGCTGTACAACACGTCTTATCTCTCCTCACTTGCATCAATTTCTCTCCGATACATGTACAATAATTTCGAGTGAATAATCAACTCGGTGATAAAATAATACTATAATAATAATAATAATAATAATAATAATAATAATAATAATAATAATATTGACAATAATAATGACGACATCATAATATTTACAAATTTGTATATACAATATACATAGTGTAACAAGATATCAGGTTCTACGCAATACCTGATTATCGTCATCAAGTCCCTAACTTGTAAAGCTCTCAACGTGAATTATGTTTTAAAATCTATCTACAAATACAATTTTCAATATATAGTATCTACATTAATCTCGACTGCAGAGGAGACCAAATAAAAAGCAATTCGTCGTCTTTGTAACATTGTCTGTTAACGGTTCAGAGAGATCACTCGACATACAAGTCTTTTGTTATTTATCACGAGGAAGAAGCCTCCTATTTAGAACGATGATAATAACCATATCTATGATAAAAATAATAATTATATCGAATAATAATAATAATAATGGTAGTAGTACCAGTAGCAGCAGCAGCAGCAGCAGCAGCAGTAATAATAATAGTAATCATAATGATAATAATAGTAATAATAGTAATTATAATAATAGTAATAATAATAATAATAATAATAATAATGAAAATAATAATAATAATAATTATGATGATGATGATGATGATTATGATGATGATGATAATAATAATAATAATAATAATAGTCGTAATGTTAATAGTGGTAATAGTGGCACTAGTACCAGCAGTTGTACAAGTGGAGGTGGTTGATGGCTGTGGATTGCGGTAGTGTTGGTGATTTAGACGTACTAGCGATAGTAAAAGCGGTAGCGGTAATAGAATAACAATAATAAAAAACTATCGATATCAATCAAAACGGTGGTAATTTTCGGTGAATAAAATATAAGTCTCCAAGGACTGAACGATCTACAAATACGTATGTCAATCTCTCTCAAGCAGTCGGATAAAATAATCTCAAATATCACTCGTCAGTCACAGAGTCATTGGGATAACAAATGGTCGCGGATCGGGCGCTCGCGGTTCTCCGCACAAATCGCCTCAGGACCGATCGTGGATCCAACGAAAGTGCTAGTTCGTCGTCAAGGACGTCCGACGCCTCGACTGGTCTCAGCTTTGCCGACCCGTTAGCACGGTGATGGGCTTGAGCAAAAGCTGGGGAGCGTGCTGCCGCACCTGTTGAACTGTCACGGGTGGTGATCGAGGAGAGACCGGCTCAGGGCTGCTCCCTGGTGAGGCCGTAGCTGAGGCAGGTTGACTAAGCATCCCCGTGCTCGCCGTACCCGTAAGCTGATACCTCGCCTGCTGCTGCTGTTGTTGTTGTTGTTGTTGTTGTTGTTGTTGTTGTTGTTGTTGTTGCTGCTGCTGATGGTGATGGTGATGGTGTTGCTGCTGATGATGTTGCGCAAAGACGGCTGCCTGGTGCTGCTGGTGGGCCGCGAGGTTTCGTAGCGTCGCATAAAAGTCATAAGGCGAGGTCGCGCTCGGCATTGCCGGCGGATACGCGCCCGACGGGGCCTGCAGCAGCCGCTCGACGGAGAAGGCCCCGTGGGCCGGGGGCGCTGCCACCGCGGGCAATGCTTGGGGTTTGCAAGGGAGGGCCGCGGCCGCGGCCGCCGCTCCAGGTAGCAGACTCGCCGGATATCCCGAGGGAGCTCCGTAGCTTGTGGCGGAGGGCGCGTAAGCAGGTCCGCGTGGGAGGTAAGGCAGACTGTAGAGCGAGGCCGGCCAACCGGGTGGCGCGTACGGCGAGGCGTAGAGGCCGCCGAGGACAGCACTGCGTTTGAAGGCCGCGAGCCTCGAGCGCGAGGCAGCGGTCGTGCGCCTGCGTAGTTTGCCAGTTGTACCGCCGATGAAGACGTCCTCCGAGCTCGCGTCGAGCATCCAGTAGTTGCCCTTGCCGGGATCGTCGTAGTGTCGCGGCACTTTCACGAAGCACTTATTGAGGGAGAGGTTGTGCCTGATTGAGTTCTGCCAACCTTGCTTGTTGTTCTCGTAGTAGGGGAAATTGCGCATTATGTATTCGTAGATGCCGTTGAGAGTCAGCCGTTTCTCGGGACTTTGGCGAATGGCCATCATGATGAGGGCGTTGTAGCTGTAAGGTGGCTTCTCCGACTTTTTCTTATCAGACTCGGCATCCGCCTCGTGTTCCTTTGGTGCCGAAGAGTCTTGACGTTGGCTCCCGGGGCTACAGCTTCCGGCGTTACGCGAGCAATCGAGCGGCGGCGGCGTCTCCGAGCCGTCGCCGGTCACGTCGAGATCGCTCGAGTCGTCGCTGTCCGGGGTCGGAGACTGACCGCAGGCCGGAGCCGCGGCGCCCGCGCAGGCCTCCGGCACGATGTCCCGGATGCTAAAGTTACTTTTGAGGCTAGTGCGTGCCGGCGGGGGTGAGGCCGTCACCGTCAGCTGTTCGTTCGAGCCCTCCATGTTCACCATTATTTTCGACACTTTTCTCCTCGGCGCTTTTACACAATTCACCGACCGAGGCTCGTAATGTCCTGGTTTATCTAGTCGTGCGATACAGGTACAGTGGCGGCGTCTCAGCGTCACTTTTCACAGTCGTTGATATCGTCGCGCACCAAGGTAAACGTCCATACCTGTCGAGTTCGTCGCGACTCTGGGAAAGATGATGCAACGGACCGAAGCGTCGAGTCTGAGCGATCGCACGCATCTGCTTCTTCCCCTCTCAGCCGATGGCTTTTATAGTCTCGGAGCAGGCTCCGCCCTAACGCGTCCTAACCCAGCCTATTCAGAAGCACCGGGGGTTCGCGAAGCCCCAGGTTTTCCCGTGACGGACGAGAGAGCCAATGAGCGTCGAGTGCTGTACCCAGCGATGACCGCGCTTCGTTGGGTGGATCATGCGGCAGTGAAATTGTTGGTGGGAGAAGCGTACCCACCGGCCTCGTCGCGCGCGGAAGCAACTGAGAGAGAACGATATCGAGAAAGGGAAAGAAAGAGAGAGAGAGAGAGAGAGAGAGAGAGAGAGCGCGCGTGTGTGAGCTGTTCTGAAGGAAAGAGTACGAGTAGGAGAGAATTGTTAGAAATGTCCGGTTAGGGTAGCAGTGGCAGCATCAGGCTGTGTAAGAGGGGGAGGGGGCAACTGAAAAGAGTGGGGGAGTGAGAGAGCGCGCGCAAGAAAGAGATAGAGATAGAGATAGATAGAGAGAGAGAGAGAGAGAGAGAGAGAGAGAGAGAGAGAGAGGGAATACAAACAAATCCCGGCGTTGCGACGTGTGCCTCGCTTCGCTGGCCATCGATGGACTCCGGAGTCGCCCATTCGCCAAGCTTTCGTAATAAAAGAATCGCAGCGCGTTTGCGCTGTACACACGCGCCTACGTAATGTCAGCCGACGGCTACACCTCGCCAACGTCAAATAAAGTACCTGCATTTGCAGCTAATGCACTTTCATGTTATACGCCAATGGATTCTTTAGAAATACATTCGCGAATCTACGATAGTATGAAATATTTTTGTGACAACAAGTTTTTGATATCTAATTTAATGTTATTCTTATGTGTTTTAATGAAAATTCGCTTCAATTTACATGAAAATATCTTTGAGATCGTTGAAGTCACCTTTCGATTCTATTTCATACTATTTGTTTTCTTATTTAGTACGTTTAAGACAAAATTGAGGGGTTAAACATTTTATCTTTTTACTTATACATTCTCTCGTTTTATAAAATGTGACTAATAATGATACGGTTTTAATACAAATTATTTATTTAGTATAGACTGATCGATAGCGTGAATAGTCCTTATTTCGAAATTAATAAAATAAAGAAGTAAAATAAAAAGACTTCAACAATGTTGAAAATATGTAAATTTAAAACAAACTACAAATTCTAAGAAAAATAATAGAAGCGAATTTATTTAAACAGACGCTATACTGAATATATTGAAACAACTTCTTTTTATTCGATATAAACAGAAAATAATTTTATTTAACTTTGACTAATTATTTTAACGAAGACAATTATATAATAATAAGCATTTTAATTTCACTGTAATCGACTATTTCTTCCTCATTGTAAGAATTTCATTGGCATGTAAATTCAAAAAAATTTCTAAAAGACTAATTAGAAATTATTTTAAAAAGTTTCTAAAAAACTAAAAAAATATTAAAGAATATATTTTAACAGATACTTTATGTACAGAAATCAAAGACTGAAAATCACGATGCAACTAAATTTTAATATTAGCTGTTCAAGAAATTCTTTTATTTCCATCTTCTGTAACATGCATTTTACATTCATATATCTATAATGAGAATCATTATTATTAGTAATTTCATTGTTTCTTTAATACAATAAATCATCAAAATATAAGTGAACATTTATTTATTTATATATTGCCAACACGATATAAATAGGTTATTTCAAATACATGTAATCACTGGTAGAAACATTCAATTATACAATATTATTACACATAAATTTACTTTTAACTTTGCATTTCATATTATGGTTTGATAATTTTATGTAACAATAGTTCAATATACAAAATATTTGATTTTCATTAATAAAATTCAAAATTTGTGTAAAAATAAAATATTTATGTGTCAGATGTTTTTTTTCTAAATAAAGGCTCGAAAATAAGTGAACAAACGGATTTTATGAAGTCATAATCGACCATGTTTAGAAAGTTTTTTCGAAAAAATTCGTTTAAAGTTTTGAAAGCTAGTTATATCTGAATAAAAATATTATTTTAAGCCCTTATATTTGAGTGAGATTGGGACCGATTTCCTTAATATTTCAGGTAAATATTTTTAAAGCGATATACTTCAAGAAAATATTATTATTGAAAAATCAATATTGTAAAATTTTTAAATACTTATAATCTTTTAACGAAAAATTTGTTAAGAATCAATCGTATCGCTAGCTATATCCTAATGGTTATACAATAAAATATTTTATAATAATGTACTACAATATTTATAATCTATGGTAATATATATATATATAATATAATATAATATAATATAATATATAATAAATTGTAACTTTTATTAATTAAATATGATAAACTGTTCTTTAAATGTGCATTGTAAACATATATGCATACACTTACTTTATACCGATATTATCTAATCAATTTTTATACTTTCAAATATATTCTACAAAAAATATACTTATAACAATAATTTAATTAAAAAAGATCTCAAGATTTCTTTGAAAATTTAATCAACATCTCATTCGTTTTCAAAGGAAAATCGGCAGGTGATACATTCAATATAAATTACTATGTATCAGAATATAGAATTTCATAAATTGTTTGATATTTCGTAGTTTAATTCACTAAAAGATATTACATTAATTTCTGAACACTCAATTTATTATAATTCATTTTTTATGGAAATATGTAACTCTAATACATTAGCACATTAACTATAAAAAAGAAAAAGTTAATGTCACAATTATATTATTAAAAAAGTTAATAATTTTAATGATGTTAAGTAAAACTATACAATAAGGAACTTATTTTTTTTTCCTCTCTATTAAGTACATTATAATTACAATTCATAGTCAATTAATTATTATATGTTTTTGGTTATTTCAGTGAGTATTTGTGTTGTAAAATTGTAAAATACAAACGTTATTCACCTGTCATGAATAATTAATGATGTACTTGCATTTATTAATCTAAAAGTAATATATAAAATTATTAACAAATTATTTATCTAAATAATAATAATTGAAATGACTGTTCGATATTAATTTATGAATTTGTAATTAGAATTGAACAGCAGAGTGTAAGTGAAAAAATATTTATAAATACAAAATATGTCCAATATCAAGAATCAAAAAATATAAGTTTCGGGAAATTAAGTTCGTTCGGCGTATACAGTGCAAAAAAAAAAAGAACAAAAACAAAAGAACATACGAGCCGAAAAAGACTGCGGATGTCTTCAAAACTTCAAAAATCGGTTTATGCCGCATAAAAGAAAGCAAAATTCTCTTTTTCCGCTTGAATGACATCTTTACACGCGTTACCAGGCCCCCCCAGTGTGAAAATGTCATCAACTCGTGGCGGCCTGCAGTTTTAAATGTTCCTCCTGCTCTTTACGACCATGACATTTTAAATTTTCAAATTCTGTGCAGCCAAACTGTGAATATCTGAATTGTGTGTTAATCTTGGTAGCCGTCAATAATTATATTATACAGGTTTACATCTATACTTTCTTAGGATGATGCTTAACTTTCATGGATTCTTTTTTTTTTTTTTTTTTTTTTTTTTTTTTATTAAAAAAAAAGCAATAAAATATTATTCAATAAAATGACAACAATAATACAATAAACTGCAAGAACATAAGTATTGATTTATACGTTAATAGAATACATTAAATCAGATGATAACGTGGGGTAGGCTTTTCAGTACTCGGTGACTTAACCTTAGAAAATAATTTTTTATTTTATTATTGAAGCATTTATTATGGAACAAAATCAGATATCAATTAATTAATGAAACTACGTTTTTGTCTTGCAATGATCTTGTAGCTGCTTAGATCACATTTGAGGAAAAATCTTGGAAATAGTTTAAAAGCAATGAGTAATCACTTGATTTTACGATTTCTTCGCGGTATAAAGACATTATAAAGACAGGCGCAAAAAAAAAACTTGAATTTCATTTTCCACATCTTTCTTTCTCTCCCATGCTCTTTCCCAGAAAGTAATATGCAGAAAAAGGTTGGAATCGGTCTGGGCCTCCGGCGTTGAAGCATTTGAAATGGGCATCAAACATGTACAAGAGAAAAATAGATCTCACAGGCGGTTCCTCCTCTTGTATGTCAAGCATATCGAATTGTGGGTCCAGAACACTCATTACATCATTATCGCCGAAGCACGCCGCATTCGCCACAGTTTCCTCTCCGCCCTTCGGGACACCTCCAATGTGAGGAGGTTCCTCGCTTTTCTCTTTCTTTTTTATCTTTCGTTTCAGAAACATTCTTGGAGATTCTCTCCCTCCCTTTCCTCCGCCTCTTTCCTAATGCCGGAAAGCCACACGAAAGTAAGGAGAGAAAGAGGCCACGAGTTGAACTTGACGCACACGACGAAAACCTATTATTTCATACCTTCGTCTAAGCGCGTCCCCTTTTTGTCCTTGGTGCTGAGATGCACCGTGCCGAGCGCTGACATATAACCAAGGCTCCTAGTGCTTCAGGTAGTTCATGATTTGTCTAACAAACTAGCTTATTTGCTCAACAAAGCTCATTATTCAATTTCATATTATTTCTGTCCTTAGTACACACGCCCGTTAAGCATTTACATAGTAACGTTATATGCCAATGTTATCAACATTGCTTGACTATCGATAACTACTAGAAACGCTAACCATCATTCGTGTTGCGTAACAAATTTGTATTAGGAATTTACATTTTAATCAGGTGGATAAGCGACGATTTCAATATAAATTTAGTATTATTATTAAAATTTCACAATGTCATATCGAGAAATTTAAGGAAATACCTCCACCACTAACGCTTAAGCTGACTAATATGTTATAATACCTGTAATGTATTAATAAAATATGACTATACAATTTTTTAACAATTGGAGCTGATGTTTTCAATATCTTATTGTATGATTTTGTAAAAAAACAATTTGCATTTATCACACAAAGTTGAATATAAAATAAAATTAATTGATTTTCCTA